CACCCAAATCCTAAAAAAAAAAAAAAAAAAAGAATTAAATAATAAACTGATTCCTTTAAAACTATAGATTCCCACCACTATCCTATTGCCTTAGAAACTCTGAGGGTTGGGATGAAGAATTTGCTTTCACACAAAAATTGTTCAGTTCATGTGCTCAGTCATTTTTTTACAGTTAGAAATATTTAGGGGCTTTATTTTTGGGGTAACATTGATCAATGATAAGTAAAAATATTTTTTGGCACTTTTTATACAGATTTGAAATAGTGTATAACTGAAAGGAATATAATCAAGATTTAATGACTTGGTGATAATACTCACTGGGTCAATGTTTACTATTACTTGTTCTTCCAAACCTCAAACCAAACTCACTGTTATTGAGACAATTCTGACTCATAGGCGAGGCCCCCCATTTAGTTTCTGAGGTGGTTAAGCTTTATGGAAGTAGATTGCCTTGTCTTTCTTCTGCAGAGTGGCTGTTGGGTTTGAACTGTCAACCTTCTAGTCAGTAGTCAAACGCCTTAGGCACCGCACCACCAGAGCTCCTTTATTTGTACCTAAAACTCACTGCCGTTGAGTCAGATCTGACTTAATACGACCCCTCCTTGGGTTTCTGAGGCTTTGGAATCACTACGATACGAAAGTAGATTGCCCAATCTTTCTTCTGAGGAGTGGCTGGTGGATTCGAACCACCAGCCTTCTGGTTAGCAGTCAAATCCTTAGGCACTACGCCACCAGAGCTCTGAATTTGTACGTAAGAGCAGTGAAACTACATTAAAATGGAAACTTTAAAGTTCTTGAACTGTCTTTTTTACATAGTCAATAAAATCTCTCAGTGTCCCACTAGTTTAGGTATTAGTGCTCACCTTTATATTGCCAAGCAGCATCAACTCGGAGACTAATTCCCGGAAAGTGTTTTACAACCCTCTGTGGGTACCCTTTGTCCATGGTTTGGGTCATCTCATCATACCTGAATAAATGGATTTAAACATTTTCCAGCAGGCCTTTGTTTTGGAGAGCTTAATTCTTCTACTGCCTAGCTTGGAATTAAGCTGAAATGTGGGGAATAAATAGGCCTCACCAAAATCAAACCCACTGCCATGGAGTCAATTCTCACTCATAGTGACCCTGTAGGACATAGTAGAATTGCCTCATAGGGTTTTGGTGACTGTAAATCTTTATGGGAGCAAACTGCTTGCATCGCGTTTCTCCCCTGGAGTGGCTGGGGGTTTGAACTGCTGATTTTTTGTTTAGCAGCTGAATGTTTTAACCACTGTGCCACAAAGCTCCTTTAAGTAGGGCTGGTAGAGGAAAACTAATTGAATCAGTAATAAATATATGACAATGTTTATGCTTGGCTGCATCATTCACAATGTCTCAAAATAAGAAATGATCAAACATAAAAGCCATATCATTTGTTAGATTGCTGCTGTTCTGAGTAGGAGCTCAGCTTGGAGCTCTCATAGATTATGACTTTGTGTGTGTGTCTGGCAATTTGGCTGGCATCATCAGCTTTCTTCTTATATCTTATCTTAATTTTTATTTTGGAGAAAGGTTTAGGATTCATTAAAACATCCTTTGGTTTGGTAGATATCATCCATCAGAGATTTCCCTAATTCACATTAATAAACCTACATCTTAGTTTTATTTTTGCCTGTGTCAGTGGTGCAACGTGGGTATTTTTTCCTCCAGAATAAAGTCAAAGGGTCAATTCTGTGAATTTACCTCCAGCACCAGAAACCCACAAAAAAGTAGGTTTTTCTTGTGTTTTGGTCACAGATAGCTGCATCAATTTTCTTCACACGTCTTGGAAAGCCAAATGTATAGATGGATTTGGGATAATCTGGCAAAATGGCATATCCTCTGATCACCCAGAAATTGTCATCTAGGAAGAGAGAAAGTGATTATCTTCTGTTCTATTTCCTAAAAGGACAAATAGATGTTTTAAGAAGTTTGAAGATGACTAGATGCCTAGTTCTTTTCAGCTGCAATGCTTGGAGATGAAATAATTTTATGTCCCCATTTATTTCTTCCACTTTCTTTGGCATTTATATTATTAATATGATACAATAATATATACTGATAGTTAATAGCATGTCCACCCTTGCCAACTGGTTCACTGTGCTGATTGTGTTTAAATCGCCAACTTTGGCAAAGCAATCAAGCAAGTTTGGGCATGTTATCCTAAAATTCGGACCCTAAGTGTTCTCAGAGGCAAGTAACCTGGTGAAATCCATGTGAAAAAGTAGAGTAGCTAGGTTAAATATACTTGAAATGCAGTTGATTTTGAATTTCAGATAAACTGGGTAATTGTTTTGGAAGCTCTAGTGGTGCAGTGGTTAAACCATTCAGCTGCTAACCAAAAAGTCAGTGGTTCGAACACACCAGCCTGCTCCATGGGAAGAAGATGAGGAAGTATGCTTCCATAGATTCACAGCCTTGGAAACTCTATTCTACTTTGTCCCATAGGATCACTAAGAGTCAGAAATGACTCAACAGTAAGTGAGTTTGGTTTTGGTTTCTGGTATATCCAGAATATTGCATGTGACATACAAAAAACAAAAAATGACTTGTTGTCTATCTGAAATTCAGAGCATCTGTATTTTTATTTGCCAACTCTAGTAACCCTAGTAAAAAGGGAACATTAAAAAAAAACAAATGGATTACATTTACTTGGCTGAAAAAAGTCTAGTTTTTAGTTTTTATGAAACAGGTTTATTTTATCCTTGTGTAATCAGGATGGTGTTTTGCTTCACGCCCCAGATATTTCTGGTTGTTTTTTCTCTGACAGGAACCTAAGTTCAGGGAAGAAACCCTGTCCATTTGGCTGATGTATAAAGGTTATATTATTTGTACCCAAATACCCATTGGCTAGTTTAGGCATCCTGAGGAAGAAGAGGAATTATAATGAGCAAAGTTACCTTTAAAAATCAGAATCTTATCTTTGGGGTTCTCATATGCAGCTTGAATATCCACTGGCAGAGATGGCCAGAATGAAGCAATTAATTCAAATTCAATGTTGGCGATATCATAATAAATCCTCCATACATACCTGTGATAGACCAAAAACATTTGATATGTACAGCCTGTATGTCTATGTCAATGAAAACATTGCAATCTTAGACTCACCATTTATCTAACCACTTGATATTTTTCTCAACTAATTTACAGATAATAATAACACACTTCCCCCCAGAAAATTTGGGTGGTTTTGAGTTCAGTCCTACCCTTTAGACTACTAAGGTCAGGAAATACCTTTGCTTCCAATCTCCTGGGTTCTTAAGGTACAAACTATCCATAAAAATGTCGTGAATAGTTCTGACTTCCCAATGGCCTCAGGTATGCCAAAGCAGCAACATCCAAGATCACAGGTATTCTAAATTCTAAGCATAAATTTTTGATGTTGATATTTGCTAGAATAAGAAATGATAGCTTTGATTGTGGTGCCAAAATACTCCGTCAGCAGTCCCCTTCTGGCTGTAAAATTCTACAAGTCTATTAATGAGACCTGAAAAGTACTATATTCCATTTCTCTCTCCATGTAGTCCATCCTTCTCTGATATCCCTGAGAGATGGTCTCTCGGCATCTGCTGCTGTGAGCATGGCAGTGATCACATGTAATCACAGTGCTTACATATTTGGATAGGAGCTCTGGTGGTGGTGTGGTTTACAGTTTTTGGCTGCTAACCAAAAGGTCAGTTGTTCCAACCCATCAGCTGCTCTGTGGAAGAAAGATGAGGCAGTCTGCTTCCTTAAAGATTTACAACCTTGGAAACTCGGTGGGGATTGCTATGAGTTGGAACTGATTCAATTGCAGTGAGTTTTATGTAGTTGGATGGGTAGAAGGAAGCCAATTTCAAATATTCTTTCCTTTTCACTTATGTATTTGTCATATTGTGCATGCCCTGATAATTTGTTTTGAAAATATGGTCATGGTATACATAAGTAACTTACAGTGTTGAAATACAAGTTAAATAAATTATACATAGTGAAAGAATAGAGTTCTTTCTACAGTTAATACTTTATTGATGCAACATTAAGGAATGGTCACCAGTATGCTAACCAATGTTTTAAAAAGATTTTAATAAAAAAAAATACTTGAGTTTATCATTTGCCAATTTTCAGGGTATAAACACACCTACCACGACCAGTTTCAGACTGTCAATGTGATATCAACTGGTTTGTGCAAGTTCTGAAATTTTAACAATTGTCTCTTGAGCCAGTATGAGCTTGCTCCAGAGTAACACTGGAATGGCATATTATTTTGGGAAAAAAGTCACAGAAAGTGGACTCTACTTCATCTTCTTAACCAATGAAAAAATTTAAAATTGCTTAAAAACATTAAAAAATAGTTTTAAAAACAATATAAGAGATAAATGGTCATAGTGAAACATTCAAAGTTTTGGGAAGGTATAAAGTGAAAAGTAAAAGACATACATTCTCACCAGCCTCATTGATTCCTCCTTTTTCACCAAATCCCTTGAAAAGAAATATATTCATAGGAACTGGAGGTGTTTAAGGGAATGGGTTTACCTGCCTTTAAAGAACATTATTTCTCTGCGGAAAGTGGAGACAGCATCAAAAGTCAAATCAGGATCACAGGCATGGGACATTGTGGTTTCCTTTGGCTTCGCAGATGCCTTAGGTAAACCTCCTTTGATTTTAAAAAAAAAAAAAGACCCACAGTGAATGAAGAAGACATGAGGAACTGCCCTACTGACTACTGAAGGATCTTACCCAAGTGAATATTTTCTTCATGACACTATTTCAAGAAGTGATTTTCTCAACTTCCTTCCTGTAAAGCTTTCTTTTTAGTTCACACATATTCAGATTTATAATTTTACTCACCATAGATGGACTGAATTCCACTGATATCGTCCTGAGAAAGTGGGTACTTCTTAGGATCCAGGGAGACATAATTTGGGAACATCAATGCTTTTTGATCATTGGAGTGAGAAAGCCCTAGTGAATGACCAAATTCATGAGCAGCCACGAGAAACAAGCTGAGTCCTTAATAAAAAACAGGGAAAACACAAGCACATTAGTCAATTAAATGTAGAATGGTTGTATCTGAAGTTAAGAATAACTAAAGGAAAGGGAGAAAAGACCTGCTATACAGCAGATAATGGCATAAAATCCCAAACTAAACCCACTGCTATCAAGTCGATTCTGACTCCTAGTGACTCTATAGGACAGAGTAGAGTTGCCCGTTAGGGTTCCCATGCCTATAAACCTTTATGGAAGCAGACTCATCTTTCTCCTGCAGGGTGGCTGGTGGGTTTAAACCTCTGATCTTTTTGGTTAGCAGCCCAATGCTTTAATCACAGCACCACCAAGGCTTCTTTGGTTGGAACAAAGTGTCTTAAAACACAATATTTTAAAAAAATCACCACTTTTTGGTTGTTGCTAGACTATACTATATGTGATCATGTTGCTCTGTGCTTATATTCTTCAGAGGTTCTCCACTAACTATAGGATAAAATCCAAATGCCATAACAACACCTTCCATGATTTAGTTCCTGACTTTTTCTAGCCTCATATATATATTTTTCATATTCCATGAACTTCCATTTAACTACATTAAATCACCAGTAATTGTTTATATGTGCTATAATCTTTCTAATCTCTATGTCTTTATACCTCCACTCCTTCTGCCTAGAATACTGTCTCTTCCACTCCTTCTTTGTTTAACTAGCCCACTTATTCACCAGGACTACTCTTAATAGTAACTTTCTTTCCAAGGTTTCCCTTATCCCACTACCTCCTATCCAGACTGACCTAAACACACTTCTCTAGGCTCCCATAGACTTCCTGATTAATTCTGCCATAGCACATAAAAGATTGCATTGTTTATTTATTCTATCCAGCTGTGCACCCTTGAACACAAGAATCATGTCTTTATTATCTTTTATTTTTGGCAAACTGCTACAATGATTGGCAGTAGAAGGTGTTGGGTGTAGAAGCATTTATTTAGGTGAAAGAATGGCTAAGACGCATTTCCCTCACATGACCAAGGTACCCTATGCTTAACCATACTAGAAGTCTTACCACACATCTTGGAATTGGATTTTTGTTTGCCTATCTTTCCCCTAGTCTGTAAGGTTCTAAGTATAAGGACCATCCTTGGACTTGAAATTAAGTTGATATTGTTTAATGAAAAGGGTATACGATTAACAATTTTTACCATGATGGAGCCGTGTATAGTGAATATTTGCACAAAACACTTTAACTTTTGAAAATGGCAAAAGGTTATTTTATAATCTCTAATGCCTGTCTGCTCTGACCTCTGCTGCTTCCCTTTGACTGGTTGGCTATATCACTGTGTGTGCTTTTGGTTAAGAGATTGGACAAGTGAATCTAAGAAAAAATAGTTCAAATGTAACTAACTAACTGCCATTGAGTCGATTCAACTCATAGCGACCTCTCCTTGGGATTCTGAGGTGATATCTCTACTGAAGTAGATTGCCCAATCTGCCTTCTGAGGAGTGGTCAGTGGGTTTGAACCTCCAGCCTTCTGGATAGCAGGCAAATGCCTTAGGCACTACACCACCAGAGCTCCAATTCAAATGTAGGTCTTCTAAATCAAGTTCTTATCTTTATTCTGACTTTAAAGACCCTCTACAATTTGAATTATATTTAGTTTTTCAACCTTCTTTTCTGCTACAACCCTCATACATGAGTTGGTCTGGGTTATTCCATGCAGAACATTCTTACATACCCTTTTTACTATATTTTGCCTTTCTAGATCCTGTGTGGCATCATTTCCTCCCCTGGCCCCTGGGTCTGGGATATTTCTTCTGTGCGCTCCCATCTCATTGCCATAGTTCCTTTATCTCAGCACTGATAATAATGGTTTTAATTGCTTTCTGATCTATCTTATTGAATGTCTTGCCCTTTTACACTGACCCTCTACAAACTGTTTTGGTTATCTACTGCCACTCTAACAGAAAATACCACAGGTGGATGGTTGGCTTTAACAACGAAGGACTTATTTTCTTACAGTTTAGGAGACTAGAAGTTTGAGTTCAAAGTGCCAGCTCCTTGGGCTTCAGCTTTGCCTCTTGGTCCTGGCCAACTTCAGCTGGAGGCATCTTTTACCTCACCAGCTGATGGCTACTGAGGCTGACAAACCCAATGTTGACAAGTAAAATGACACAGTCCTGAGATAATAAAGCAACATGGCAGGCCACTAGTTCAAGTCCATAAACAGTTTCAAGATCAGCAGAAAACATGGCAGGCCATTGAGATGAAGACTTGGCCAAATACAGGATCCAGATATGCCCAAAAGCACAAGACGTTTCTCAATGTGTCTTCTTACGTACTGGAAGCTGATCACTTCTGTAAGGCAGCTACTCAGCTGCTCACAGTAGATTCCATCATGGAGTTTTTACCAGTATCATCATGGGGAATAACTACATCCAGCTGCCCAGCCACTCAAACTCAGGCCCAGGCAAGTTGACACATAAACTTAACTACTACACCAAGCACAGTATCCTTCTCCAAAGACTGGTCCCTTCTAATAATATAACCAAAGCATGAGAGATTAAGTGTAGCCATTCTTGCTTGTAAGGAGCACTCTGGCTATACTTCCTCTAAGACAGATGTGTTTATTTTTCTAACAAACCATGGTACATGCAATATTCTTCACCAACACCACATTCAAAAGCATCGATTCTTCTGTGGTCTTCTTTATTCATTGTCCAGCTTTCACATGCATATGAGGCTATGAAAAATACCATGGCTTGGATCAAGTGCACTCAGTCTTTAAAGTGACATCTTTTCTCTTAAATACTTTAAAGAGGTCTTTTGCTTCAGATTTGCCCAATGCAATATGCCATTTGATTTCTTGACTGCTGTTTCCATGGGTGTTGATTATAGATCCAGGTAAATTATGGTTGTTTTTGTTAGGAGCTGTTGAGTTGATTTTCAACTCAGAGAAACCCCATGTGACAGAGTAGAACTTCCCCATAGGGCATTCACACTGCAATCTTGATGTGAGTTGATAGCTAGGTCTTTTTCCAATAGAGCCACTGGGTGGGTTTGAACCACCAACCTATCAGTTAGTAGCTGAGTGCTAATAGTTGCACCATTAATAGAGATAAAAGGACAGAGGCTGAGCTCTGTCTCTGGATATAAAAGCAAATCCTGGCCGAATAGGAGGAACCAACCTGATTTTGCTAAGTACCAAGATACCTCTTAAAAACTTCCCAATAGGGCATATCTATGCTGCTTTTAGGTCAAGTACAGAGAAATACTGGGACATAACTCAGTAGAATATACACAACAGATATGGTCCATTTTTCTCCTCAGTTATTTGGATGACACTATTATTCTACATCCTTCATCCTCTTGTCTGCTTGGCAATGGCAGAAACCAATCCTATATTTGCCCTGGTTCCTGAAGCCCAGTCAATAGCTGAGTTTTTTTCTCCCTCTTTGCTCGCAAGCACGGAACATATGTTTTGGAGCCTTTCAGTTTTGCAGGAACTATAAAAGTAAAAAAAGAAACCCAAAACAACAGCAAAAAAATTTCCTGGAGTTGCTTGTTATGTGCCGTCGAGTTGGCCCCGACTCATAGCGACCCCTCCTTGGGTTTCCGAGGCAGTAACACTACGGAAGTAGGATTGCCCAACCTTCCTTCCAAGGAGTGGCTGGTGGGTTTGAACCACCAGCCTTCTGGTTAGCAGTCAAGTGCTTTTAGCCACTATGCTACCAGAGCTCCTTAGCAGCACTGAACTGGTGTGCTATCCATTAGCCGAGTCACAGCCTCTGCTTTCTGGGAACTCTGAAAGCTAGAAGCCACACCCAAGATGACTATCGTCAATAATAGAAGAAAAACAGTGTTTAGGGAGAATCCAAGAGTCTACTGATCCTGTTGCTTTGTTTGATGCATATGCTTTTACTGCAGTAAAGTTTTTTTTCTTTTTTTTGTAAAGTAATAAGCACCTCTTAATTAAGTGCCAGGAAAATCCATTAAGAGAAATAAAATCCACACACTTGGTCTGAAGAAGTAGGTCAAATATTAAGATTAATGCCTAATTCTTTGGCAGATGGACAAGAGTTAGAAAAGGAAGTTCATACTTTTAAATATATCTTCTGTGAACTGAATCTACATATCATTCTTCAATCGCTAACTCAAATATTACCATATCCCTTGTTTCATTTTTAACTCCTCAAGCCACAGATGACTTCTAAAACTGGTACAATACATAATGCATTCTGCCTTGTATAGTGTATATTCACCATACAACATCATGGACCTCTTAAAGACTAGAACTTTTCCAGTACAGCACCTTTTATAATCCCAGGAAAACAGTGGATGTTCACGTACAGTAGATGAATGAATGAATGTATGAGTAACTGAGGAATACTCCGATCATAAGACACTGACAAATTTATGAGGACGGTGCATGATAAAGACTCTAAACTACATAAGCACAGTTATCTGAATATATACCAAACACTTTCATAATGCCATTGTTATGAATTGAATGGTGTCCCCTGCAAAAGAAATGTGGAAGTCCTAACCTCCTGTACCTACAGATATGTCCCTCATTAGAAATGGAGATTTTCTTTTGTTAAGTTAATGAGGCTATGCCAGAGTAGTAGTTGTTGTTGTTATGTGCCATCCAGTTGACCCAACTCATAGAGACTCCTCCTTGGGTTCCCGAGGCAGTATCACTACAGAAGTAGATTGCCCCATCTTCCTTCCAAGGAGTGGCTGGTGGGTTTGAACCACCAGCCTTCTGGTTAGCAGTCAAGTGTCTTAGGCACTATGTTACCAGAGCTCCTGTGCCAGAGTAGTTGTTGTTGTTGTTATGTGCCGTCGAGTCGGCCCCTACTCATAGCGACCCCTCCTTGGGTTTCTGAGGCAGTATCACTACGGAAGTAGGATTACCCAACCTTCCTTCCAAGGAGTGGCTGGTGGGTTTGAACCTCCAGCCTTCTGGTTAGCAGTCCAGTGCTTTAGCCACTATGCTACCAGGCCCTAAACCTAAATAATTCTGAATAATATCTTATAAAGAGAGCAAAATAGACACAGAGACACATACCATTTGAAGATGGAGACAATGTGAAAACTACAAGCTTAAATTGCTGGCAGCTACTAGAAACTGAAGGAGCTCTGGTAGCAAAGTGCCCCATCCTTCCGAGGAATGGCTGGTGGGTTTGAACTGCTAGCCTTCTGGTTAGCAGTTAAATGCCTTAGGCACTGTGCTACCAGACCTCCCAGTAATTAAGATAGTCATTGTAAAGGACAGAAAAATATGGGAGAATTTGGGAAGTTTAGAGGGAAAAAGAAATGAATGCAGAATGAATTTCGAAGTAATGAAATTTTGTTCATAAAGAAAATTGGGCTCACCTTCTCCATCCTTGGTCCAATTTTCATCCTCATCGAAGTGAGTGTCTCCACCCAGACCCGGACCAGGAGGAAAGGCATGACCAAGGACTCCTAAAGGACCATCAAAATAACGAGGGCACCACCCATGGACTGAGATACAATTTAGGGGGAAAAAATAGTCAGCCACTTCAAACTTCCTGAGATGAGTGTAATTACACATTTTTTTCTCTGTTGAAAACTTTACCTTTGGTCCTAAAAGCAATCATGATGTCTGCAATCCCTTTGGAAATCTTGGTAAATATTAGTGGGGTCACCATGCTCCATACTTCTAACGCTTTTTGGATAGCTTCATCCACATCAGCTCGTGACATATCTGGAGTATAGTTCATTATTCTTAAAAATTAATAAAAATACGTGAATTGATGGTTACACATGCATGTATACTAGACTCATACTAAGAAAAGAAAATCATTTCAGGCTTATCAAACAAAGCATATCTGCTGTAACTTTTGGAATGATGATATTATCTTACATTTGTATAGGACTTTAATATTTAAATAAAGTACTTTTACACATGCTATATAATTCAATCCTTTCATCTGCCTGGTAATTACTTTAATAAATGAGGGTCAAACAGGTTAAATAACTTCCCTAAAACTGCTCCTTAAGTAGGAAAATACTAATCTCGTGTATGCATTTGCTGTGTATAACCCAAAACAAAAAGAGCAAACTCACTGCTATTGCATCCCTACTCATAGCGACTCCTCCTTGGGTTTCCAAGGTGCCTAAGGCACTAGGCTGCTAACCAGAAGGCTAGTGGTTCAAACCCACCAGCCACTCCTCAGAAGGAAGGTTGGGCAATCTACTTTTGTAGTGATACTGCCTCAGACGTCCAAGGAGGGGTCGCTATGAGTCGGGTCCAACTCGACGGCACATAACAACAACAGCAACATCTCTATGGAAGTAGATCACCCAATCTTCCTTCTGAGGAGTGACTGGTGGGTTTGACCACTAGCCCTCTGGTTAACAGTCAAATGCCTTAGGCACTACACCACCAGAGCTCCTTTGCTGTGTATATGAATGTATTATAAATGCATTTGATAAAGAATTGAGAATTATTTTCTTGAATGGCTTATGGAAATCAGTTTTGTGCACATATCATATATCAAGATTCTTACTTGAGGTTATAAAGCTATTCAGAAAGAGATTTTCTTCCTTTAAAATTCCCTGTCTTTCTAAACCTATTTTTTATCTCAATTCCTCACACTCAATGTTGTTGTTGTTGTTGTTATGTGCCGTCGAGTCTGCCTCAACTCATAGGGACCCATCCTTTGGTTTCCGAGGCAGTATCATTACGGAAGTAGATTGCCCAACCTTCCTTCTGAGGAGTGGCTGGTGGGTTTGAACCTCCAGCCTTCTGTTTAGCAGTCAATTGCCTTAGGCAGTATGCTACCAGAGCTCCTTCATACTCAATAGGATGAAAGAAAAGCTCTCAGAAACACTATTTAAGGCCAGGACTCTAGAGTGATGGTCAAGTCACTGCTTTCTCCTTCGGTCAGGGGCACTGTTGACACTCTCTCTGCCATTATGCTGGCCTGTTCCCTGAGATGTCTGTGGTGAACCTCATGCTTCACTCCAGAGTCTATCTGAGTTTTGACAGCTCTAACTCACACACACCTCTAACATGAACTGGTTGTGCTCCAGGGTGCTTTTCCATTTTCCCTTGACACATTTCATCTGGGCCTTCAAGCATTTGAAGCTAGCGGTAGTGTTCTAATCCAAGTTTATGTGGAGGAGGCACTGGCCAGAGATAAGAGTTTATTTATGGAACCAAAGTTTGCTAGAAACTCTGGTGATATAGTGCCTAAGGCATTTGGGAACTCAAGGAAGAGTTGCTAACCGACTTGGCGGAGTGTTTGGTTTTGGTTTTGGAGAGTGTGCTAAGAGTTATGTAATCTTGATTGTGGTAAATGATCTTCCCTCTCCCCACCCCAACAGTTTCTCTGTGTTTAAGGCAGAAATAACAATAGTTGATTGGAAGGATAGAACAAATGAAACCTATGAGTGCCATGCACATAGGAAGTGCTCAGTAAAGTAAACTATTATTATTATTGTTCCTTGGAGATTATATTTATGTTCTTTTGGATTAAAGACTAGGAGGCGACAGGTTTGTTGGAGTCCTGGATGATACAGTTAGTGCATCAAACTACCAACCAAAAGGTTGGAGGTTCAAATCTACCCAGAAGCATTTAGAAAGAAAGACCTGGTGATCTACTTCTGAAAATCAGCCATTGAAAACTCTACAGAGCACAGTGCTACTCTGACACATATGGGGTCCTCATAAGTTGGAGTCAACTTGATGGCAACTGGGGTATTCTTAAATTGGAAGAAGCATTACCTGTAAGTGAGGTTGTATTTTCTCCACCCAGGGAGAGTGTAGCCATACTGACCAACATCAGGCACCCCACACCTGGGTTTCTTCATGATCTCAAGAGTGTTTGAGTCCAGTTTTCCAGTCACTGTTAATCCAAAAAATGCTTGCATTCCTCGAATTTTGCCAGCTGTGAGACTCCTGTTCTTGCTCTGAAGGAGATGACTCCCTTCTATTTCAAGAGAGTAGAACTGGTTGAGATATGCCTGACCAAAAAGACAAAAAAAAAGGCACAGAATACAGGAGAGCAAAACTTTCACCTCGGGAGGAAACAAAATTGCTCGAAAATCCTCTTTGCCAGTAGGGAGGTAAAACGGAAATAAGGAATAAGGGACATGAAGAAGCAAGGGAGGAAAGAAGAAAGCAAGGAAACAAAGTAGAAGAAAAGTCACCCTGCTTTTCAAATCCCAAGAATTGGTTGAATTATGTGTGTCCAGGGTTAGCCAAACCACACAGCCCACAAAACTCCGAGCCTCCACAAAGAGAATCAAGCTTCTATAACATTAAATGATGACATATTTTACATATTTTTGCTGTTACTTTCATTTTAGTGTTTCCTTGAAACAAAATCTAGAAGACATAGGTGATAATTCATTTTAAAAATTAAATTGGTTGGACCTAGTATGGCAAATTAACTGGACTGATTTTAAGGAAATCTCCAAAGCTATGCATTTTTCATACATCTGAGGATGTTGTTGTTAGGTGCCATCAAATTGATTTTGACTCACAGCAACTCTATGCGACAGAATAGAGCTGCTCCATAGGGCTTCCTAGGCTGGAATTTTTATGGAAGCAGATCACCAGGTCTTTCTCTTGAGGAGCCAATGGGTGGGTTTGAACTGCCTCAAACCATAAATTGGGCCCTACTGGTTTAACTGCTTTCATAGGTATGTACATTTCTTTTTAAGGACTGTCCCCTTTCTCCTCTCACTAACTATCCTCTACTTCTAACCATTATTTACAATTGTAGCAAATCCTGCCTTCCTCACATCCCTGCCTCCACCCTGTACTCCACACACAGTTCCTGATGTCCTTAGAAGCCCCTTCTCACAAGAAAGTCCAGTACTCTTTTGTAGGAATTTGTAATATTTTTAGGTTCCAATTCAACTGATAAAGTGAATTTTATTGATAGTCTGTTAACAACATTTATTGAGACAGTACCTGAGCCAGCTGCATGGTATCTTCATTATCCATCCCTTGGTCTGTTGGAAACGCAGAAGAAAATGTTATGAAGAGCAAAAATAGAAACACAAGGCTCTTCATTCCTCTCTCTTCAGTTGAAGCCTGATTCTGTTTGCACAGAATTTAGAAAATAAAAGTGAGACGTGGCATGAATTGGTTTGTATGTATCATCATTTAATTAGTAACAGAAAAGGGCTTCTGCCATGAAGTGTGTCACGATATGTTTTTTTCCCCTAGATTGATTTGATTTTTGCAATCATGGTCTGCAATTATTTTGTAAACACAATTATTCTTCAACATTTAATTTAATATTCTATAGAGTAAGCTTCCAAGTTACTTTTGGCCTTGCAAAGTTGGAGGTTTTTGAATGGATAAATACTTGAGAGTTTATAAAATGATTTTCTTTTGAATGAATCTCCAAAATATCTTGGCAGAGTAGTGTCATGAAAAGACCATTGAATCAGAAATTGAATTACTCTAATTAGCTAATTCATCAAAATGTCTTTTGAGCATCTGCTATTTGAACATTTCTGTGAATGCAAGCCTCGGCAAACAAACTATCTCTCTGATCTTGTTTGAGAATGCAGATGAAAACAAATCTTTACCTGTTTGAGCTAATGCATGACAAGAGTCCCTGGGTGATGTAAATGATTAATCCCCTCAAATGCTAACCAAAAGCTTGGCAGTTCAAACCCACCCATAAGCCCCTCAGAAGAAGAGCTTGGTGACCTGCTCTTGAAAGATCCCAACCTTAAAAACCCTATGGAGTGCAGTTCTACTCTGACAGATACAGGGCCACCATGAGTTGCAATCATCTCATCAGCAAGTGGTGGAAGAAGACAAAATGGAAGCAAGTGAAAAAATATACACTGCAGATTGCAAAGATCAAGCTGGACCAAAATGTGATGATCACTGGTGATGACTGTGGCTCATAAGACTCCATGCAGGTAGGGTTGGAACTGCACAGAAGAAGAGGGAGGGTGTGTGAACAGAAGGAGACATCGGAAGCAGATAGGACAGCAGAAATGTATAGAGGGTTGTAGGAAAACTGTCTCAACTGTAGTAAATGTATTTACCAATGGGAGATTGGGCTGACCTTATATAAAAGTGGGAGAAATACAGAGGAAAAATGGTCATGAGAAGAGGGAGGCAGACACTGGAGTGCCAAGGAAGCCAAAGTTTGCTAGCCAGCACCAGAAACTGAGAGACAGGCATGCAACAGATTCTCCCTTGGAACCTTCCCAAGGATCACCTTGCCAACACTTTGATTTTTGACTTCTAGTGTCCAGAGCTGTGAAATAAGAAATTTCTGACATTTCAAGCCACTTAATTTGTACTACTTAGTTAGGGTAGCTCCAGAAAACAAATATATGGTGCAAGGAAAATAAACGTTTTGAATCTATATTGGTAGTGTGACTGGATATAAAATTCAAGCAAAAATATATTTTCCTTAAAATTTTGAAGGTACTACTATTCCATTTAGGACCTCTTGTGGCATAGTGCCTAAGGCATCTGACTGCTAACCAGAAGGCTGGTGGTTCAAACCCACAAGCCACTCCCCAGAAGGAAGGTTGGGCAATCTACTTCTGTAGTGATATCGCCTCGGAAACCCAAGCAGGGGTTGCAATGAGTCAGACCTGACTCGATGGCAGTTGAGTTAAACTGTTCCATTGCTTTCCAAAATATCATGTTACTTTTTATTATTATTATTTTTATTTTTATTGTGATTTGGGTGAAAATTTACAGAGCAAATATACTTTCCATACAGCAGATCACATACACTTTGTCTCATGACATTGACCACAATTTAGCACAATGCAACATCTACTCTCCCACTTCCTCCCGATAGGTACTGCTTCCCTGTGACCATCCCTCCATGCACTCCTACCCCTGAGCTGTCTTCCTGTGCCTGAGCAGCCCTTCTTTCTCTCTTGCTTGTTCTCTCTAAGGAGTGTATCTACCTCAGATAAATGCTCAACTAGCATGCCTGTCTACTGCTTGGCTGGAAGTTACAGGTGTGTGTTCAATTCCAGACCTGAAGAGCAGCTAGGGGCCATAGTCTCTGTGGTTCCACCAGGCTCCATCAGGCCAGTAAACCTGTTCCCCGCTTTTCTTTTTTTTTTTTTCCAAATGATTTTGAGTTTTGTTCCACATTGTTCCCCCTGTCTATCCAGGATCACCTACAAAGATCCTCTTCCAAGTGGTTGACAGTAGTAGTCGAGCACCTTCTATTTCTTCTGGTCTCATAGT